CAGTATAATCACAAGATTTATTGGTCCGTGGTGTAAAATTCACAAGCTGCCCAGCAGTAATTTAAATTATAAGGTAGTTAAGATTAGCGCCACCTTTACCAGCTGCTACATAAAATGTGGTGTGCACAATAATACATCAATACTTATAATTGAGTAATATGATATACACCAATGTAAACGGTGCTATTTTGCATAATTAGTACTTTTACTTTTGGTACTTTAAGTATATTTTCTGCTAATACTTTTGTACTTTTACTTAAGTAACATTTTGAATGCAGGACATTTACTTGTAACAGAGTATTTTTACACTGTGGTGTTGCTGCTTTTACTTATACTTTTACAATCTCAGTACATCTTCCACCACTGGTTAACTGAATAATTCATTTACTAGATGAAAATACAATAAACCAGATAGCATGGTAACTACAAAAATGTGCACGTATCAAGTTGCTGCAAACATGGATTATTCATTCAGGTATAAAAAACATTATTATAATCAGTGTCTCACACAATGTTGGAGATTTTGCCGTGATGTTTATGAACCCTGATTCCAGTTTGTGACATAAAACCCAAATTTTATTTTGATGCTTTTGGACTGTGCCCAACGACGGGCTGAGGGATTTTATTTGTCCTTTTGGACCTGTCATCTCTTTCACTCATTCATCTCCAAATTCTCCAAATTCAAAGGAGTGGAAACTTTGAACCACTAAATCTTTTATAAAAACCTTTTTAAGCATGCTGAATGTAGCATTTGATCCTACAGCGATGGAGGTAAAAAGGTCAGTGGTCTCGGACTGTTTGAAGACAGGAACGGGAGCGAGGTGATTTGTGGCCCTGTATTTAAGCAGACACTTGGGTTTGGACCTCCACTCTGAGCTGGAGCAGCAGCAGCATGCAGTGAGGTCACTGATGCATAAGAGGGGCTGTGTGATGAATGGATTGATGTGATAGAGGCAGAGGAGCTTGGACCCCGCGTGAACCGCTGAATTATAAAAAAGAATAATGACATGCTGTATAATTTATCCATATGTCAGAAATTATGGCATCTGTTTACAGTTTATTTTATTTACTTTGGTAATGCTGAGCCCAGCTTGATTAACATTTTCTGCAGCATTTGTTGTCTTCAGCAGCAGGATTTGATTGGCACTCGGTGACGGCTGTTTGAAGTGAGCGTAGCGTCGGCTTTGAAGCTTGGGGGATGAAAGCAGAGCATCCAGATATGACTGGAGGATCATCTAGAAATGCATTTTGGCTGCTTCTGAAGGCGACCGACAGGCGACAAACATGTTACTAGTTGTTGAATAAATGTTACTTGAGATTCGGTGGTGCAAGAACATTAAACAGAGAAGGAAACTTATAAATACACATCGGAAATACCTTAGGTTTGTTTAATGACAAGCTGTAAAGGATGAACTATCCCTCCTCATTTGTCATGAGATGGCTCCTTTTTTTTTATGAGCCAACTGTGACTAATTAATCAAAACATAAAATTTTCTAAAGTGTCTAAAAGTGCAGAGTTTGTAGTAAAGCCAGACGGCATTGTCTGAAGAATGATCCAGTCAGTAACACTCAAAGTTTTTAATGTTGTTAAGTCTGTCTGCAGCTTATCACAGGTAAATGCTACTTAAGTCAACATTTAGTTGTGACAGGAGAAATACGGTTATCTGTATTTAATATTCAACATTCTTAAAAATACATGTCTGTCTGGAGTCCTTCTGGCAGGTGATAAAATGTGTCTGGCTCTGACTTTTCTCTCCAAGTTAATCTTATAAACTAAAGATTTTGCATGTTAAACCTCTCCCATAGTGAATCATGTAAATGCAGACTCCCAGAATATTTTGCTTGCAGTAGTCTTTAATAAATGAGTTGAATTGGAAACATTCAAATAAAGCAAAAACTGATGAAATATGTCAGCTATGGCACCAAAAAGCAATATTTTATGTATAACTTGCATATTTTTTGTTAAAAAAAATTAAATTTCTCAACAGATTGTTGTTATAAATTTATCAAAAATAAAAAATATGTTAAACAGAACTTTTAAATGCTGTTTTGATTATTTCAAAAATAATTATTTTAAAGGTTTGCAAATTAACCAATGCAGGAAAAGAAAATAAAAGTTCACGAATTACATTTACAGTGTTGCTGAAACATCTCAGATATGTATGTTTATATTTGTGTGTAATGGATGGAATTTAAATTTGACTCTTAAAACAGACAGCGGTAGTTTGCAGCTGAGCCACAGTGCCTCTGTCTCTCTGAAACACCCAGAATGCATGAAGTGGTGGCTGCCAACGCTGACATCTGCTGGCTGAAGCCAACAGCCTTTTCTTTCATGGTCAGGTTTGTGTTTACTTTCTGATTTAGCATAAGCGGTCGCTGCAGCCGCCTTGGCCCCCTGTTCACAAGTAGAAAAGTTGTTGTGATGTTTTTTTTACCCTCAAACTTCTAAAAACCACAGAATCATGAAGTGTTTGGTTGATGGCTTATTATATTGTTTGCAATTTCTTATCTTGTTTTCATATTTGCTTAAATAAATAACTAATTCAGGCAGGGGATGTATTAATAATCACCGGTTTGGCTTTTCATGAACTGAGTCATTTTAATTCTGATATTTGATAAAAAGAAATGTGCTGATATCTTAAAAAACAAACAAACATCTACAGCAATTCTTATGTTAAAGTGAGGAAAAATGAAATAGACGTGAGCACATATCAAAAAAATACATTTCTGTTATTTATGGGTGCAAGAGGTTCAGTCTGTTTGTGAGCTGTGTGCTGCCAGATGTACCCACTGCAAAAGGAAGCACCTTAAGGTTTTGGCAATGTTCCTTAAACTCAACCGCACTGCTGTGTTTCTGCAAAACCCTGCACACAAAACTATACAAAACTGCAAAACATCTTATAGCCCAGCTCTGCATCCACAAGCAGGAGGGAAGAGCACATTAGTTTACACATTATTTTATATGTGACAAAGCTGCTCACCTGCAGATATTTTTGTAATGATGATCCGACAGGGTAATAAAATTAAGCCACATGAATATCACGATGACTGAATCATGATTTGGTTTAGTTCACTGCAGCTTTTTAAATAATTTACTTTCCACAAGAACAGTCTGTGACAAAGATTCGGGGAAAAAAAACACATCACATTAGTACTGAATGTACAAATAATGTACAAGAAAAAGTCCTGCATTCAAATGTTTACTTACTGGCGGACATAAAGCTATCTTTTACATACTGTTTATACCATCTGTAGGCTGCTGTTGGGTTCCATAACAATAGCATTATGTCTTATAAAGAAAACATCTATTTTTATGTAAAATATTTACCTGAAATGTAATGATGTGCCAAGTAAATAAATGTAGTGGAGACAAACGTTTGCTTCTGTAATGTAGAAAGTAGCAGAAAATAAAAACATTCAAATAGCCTACCTTAAAACTGTAGGCTGCCTAGCTTGTTTTAGTCCTAGTTGTAATAGTAGCAGTTACCCCATATGGCCATAATTACAATACCTATGACACACAGGAAGTGAGTACAATAGTAGAAAGGGCTATACAGTCACAGGTTGTGAATTACTTTCAGCATATACCAGCAGAGGTCAACATCCCCTCCCTCTGTTCTGTCCAGATGTGATGTAACGTTACGGCTGCTGAACTGTCTCCACTGTTCCTGAGCCTAATGGGATGAGATTTGGTGAAGGTGCAGAAATCTGATCTCCAGTCAGCTGTTAGTGGGACTGTTTTATGAGCAACGCTGCGGGGGGTTTGTGTGGGATTCCTTTGCTCCCGGTGTGAACCGCGCCTGCGTCAAGGTGATACACAGCCCACCAGAGAAAATACTGCAAAGCAAGATTATTCAGATTTTGCTATTTCCGTTTATAACCTGTCAGGTGATGATTTATGGCAAAGGATGAAGGATGGAAAAAAAAGAAGGTGCCCATTTTCATATTGCTATTCTTATTTAACAACATATACAGTATGTAGGCAACTTTTTTTTGTTTTGTTTTGTGTTTAAGGTTTATGCTTTCCTTCTGTTAACACAGTATGAATTTTGAACCCACCAGAATTTGACTTAGCCCAATAAAGAGGATTTTTTTTTTAAAATAATAAGCCTACTACTTTATGGAATGAATTAAAATGAAATCCTTTTAATAGGGCTCTACCTAATGGTAGTGTCAGAGGAGTTCTCTGCTCATTAAGTTGTCTAAAGTAGCCTATTAATACCAATAAATATTCTGCAATCGACTTTTACCCTACTGAAGTTAAAGATAAAGGAGTATAATACAGAATGACTTGTTTAATTTATTAAGCTACATAACTAGATTATTATTGTGATCTATTAATGTATTAGCAGCATTTTAATGTTGCATATTGCAGTCGGTCAAGGTAAAACTGATTTCACCACTTTTTACAGGGTTGGGAGTTTAGAATATATATGGGCCTATATATTAGTATATAGGCTATTATGATATAACATAATTGTTGAGCCTGTTTTGTAGGCTAAGTGCTCTTTTAGCCTCCCACTTCCTGTCCAGTCCTGTCACTGTGAATGCCAGGTAACCAACTCAGTCGTTTTACTGAACAAATCTGTGTATCAGCTGCTGACTGTTTTTACGGTCATATCTGCTGCTGTTGCTCATTTGCACTACTGTCCATGTGCATCTCAATCTCACAACCATCTGACAATCTTCTTGTTATTATTTGCACTACTGTCACTGATTGCACATGGTTTGAGTCATAGCCTATTAGGTTGTACCTTTTAGCTTTACCCTAATCACTTTGACTTAGTTTTCTTATTCTTTTTAGTCTATTTTTACTCTACTTTTATTCTATTTTAGTTTCCTAAATGGCATGGCGCTCAATACTAGTTGAGAGAGAAACGGTATTTTCTGTATGTCCTGCACATATAGTGAACTGACAATAAAAATCTTGTATCTTGACCCTGATCTTGTATCTTTGACGATGACGCTACTGCGTACGTAGAGTGTACGTGCATAGTAAGGTACGTGACGCTGCTCCACCTCTCCTCCTTTTGTGCAGTTGATTATTTCCGTGTCGGGCAGGACTGCAACACACAGGTACACTATGTCTTTTATATTGATATACAAGTACGGCTGACGTTTTTCCGCACAGCTTTGTCGCTGCCATAAGCTGGTGGATTCTGACCTCTGGAGCTCGGAGTTGTCCGTCTAACCGGAGCGGGATGCAGCCCGAGGTGCAGCAGAGATGCTAGGCCGCTGCTTCCACAAGGCAGCTGCTCTTAGCATGGTGGCTAATGTCCTGCTAATGTCATTTGATAGCGGTCTGCGTTTATTCAGGTGCTAGTATTAAGGAAGCGTAGCTAGCTCGTAGTTTTACTCTCTTGACACTTGAAGGGCTTCCCGTCTGCTGTCCGCTTACTAAAACGTCGCTGGAGAACTTGTCCGCTGTCCGGCTTGATGACCGGCTAATGCTAATCTGTTGGAAGGCGAGGGCAAGGAGATGCTGCCTTCATGAACTCTGTGTCGAGCGGCCACTGCTGTCTTCACTCTAGTGGGAGACCAGACTTTACATGTAGGTCGGTCTCACAGTTGAATTTCCATTATTTCGACTACAACTACAGTGCTGCTGAAGAGGGCAGTGATGGAGCCCAAACTTAGATGCTAGGTCATGTGAATCATTTCATGAAAGCCCCCATCGTGCTGGGAGAGTTGTGCCCTCTTTCAAAGTTTTATGTGTACAAAGATATGACGTTAGCCCTCTTCAGTTCCAAGTCATTAAAGTTTACCTCTCAGTGACAAGAGGAAGGCTACTATATGTTATGGGTTGTCCTCCTCCTGCGACCTCTACGCCCTCCGATACTATGTGTGAAAGCCATAAAACTACTCGGGCACAGTGTGGTGGTTTAGCACGCTGTGTTTGAATCGTAGCACAGGGCAAGCGTTGTGTGTGTTAATCCACTTCACCTTTATGTACTTATTGTTGACCATACTCACGATGACCGGACTCAGAAGGCTTTTTTGCGGAGTGTCCTGGGCGATTCGGGCAGAGTGGAGCTGGGCGTGGGCCTTAGAACAAGCCAGGGATACAGATGTTTGTTGTATCAGGGCTGATGTTGAAGTTGCTGGGAAAGCTGAATGTCTGAGAGGAAAGTGGTGGATACATTGGAACATGTTTGTCTCAGACAGAGAGATCATGGGGATGGGATGCAGTAGATACAGTATAACATGTTATAACTGGAGTAAAGGGGTGGAGTTGTAAATTTAAGGTGAGGCTGCTCATAAACTTTATCAGACAGGCTTGAAGGAAAGAATTGGACAGGAATGTTAAATTTAAAGTAGATAGCATTGAAGGAAATGAATAATGTTGTTTGGCCATTTATTGGTAACAGATTGACCCTAGAATCACAGGTGGATGCTGCATGTGGAAAAGCCCACCAGCAAATGTATTGTCATTGCAAGCTTCACTGTTTAAATGTTGATAACACTTTTATGAGGTTGTTTTATTGAATGTGTTTTCATCTTTTATTTGTTGGCATGGGTCACTTACTGACAAGAGCAGATCGCAGGGGAATGTTAAAATGTGCGGTAAGATTGCAGGCATACCTAAATAACCTCTCTGACCCGCACAAGACTCGGATTCTTAGGAAGGCCAGGTCAGTCCTGGCAGATTCCAGTCATCCTGTTTTCTGCCGGTTTGTGATGCTTCCATCTAGTTGCACTTTCAGCCTGCCCAAGAGTAGATCACACAGTTTAAAAAATGTTATGTTTCAGATGGGTTCTTGATAATCTTTAGTGTGTGTTGATTGTTTCTTTCTGCTTGTGTATGTTGTCTGCTGCCAGCTGTTGAACAGTTTGCCCCATCAGGTTAATAAAGTTACCTTTGACCATTTCAGTCATTAAAGTACTTGAGCCTTAGCTAAGCTTCTACTGTTTACACTCATTTTAATAGCAAATCCCTGTTTTTTGCCTCCTGACTTTCCAATACTAGTAGAACAGGTGTATGTCTTTGTATCTTCCTTTTATTTGAAGAAAATTCGCCTGTTTTCTGTGCTGTGGTAATAAACCACATTCAGTCACACAGAGACAGTAACTACAGTCATAGTTTTGGGGATTTATAAAGGAATCATATGCCCCGCTAAACTGCTTATCTTCCACTTCTGCTGTCTACTGTCAATGTGCACACGCATGTTATCATTAGGGGTGCAAAGCCACTGTGTCCTGATAACTGTTGTAGGTAACGTTTAACATATTCTAATTGTGAAATAGAGGGGTCTTGCACAACAGGATAAAGAGGTGAACTCATTGCACAGGCTTAACAAAGGGTCTGCTCTGTCCATTCTAAACTTTGCTTCCACTGTGAAATAAAAGTTGCTTTGAGAAAGTGGCTGTGGTGTCAAAAATGTAAAGTAGTTTGGAACTATGGGCAGAGAGATTTGGTTAATGCACTGACAACGTATTAGCAAAGCCTTTTGTTTTATTGTTGTTAAAATCCCACAGCTGGAAATCACCAGCCAATGGCAAAGGTGACTGCATACAAAGTGACCTCTGCATTGGCAGGAGTGCAGGTTTTTGAAGGAATGTGTGCATTCAGGTGTGAGTCACCCTCCTCCTGTGTAGCGCTCATGCAGGCCAATATAACTTCATCAAATTTGTACCCTTCCTGTCTACCTGCAACCCCCCAGCAGCTCCGGTTGCAGCACTGTTCCCTCTCTGAGAACATCACATCTGACCTGTCGGGCCGTTCTTCTCCTACACTGTGTCTTGATACTGGGTGTTCTGGTTGTCCTAAAGCTGTGACACAGAGAGGACCGCAGTAGTGTCGTTGTTCAGAGAGAATGCTGTATTTTGTTGTTTTCTAGCTTGTTCTTGGTCACAGCCTTGATCATCCTGTTTTGCTTTGCAGATAATGGCTGTACCTCCCACCTACATTGATCTTGGAAAATCTGCCAGGGATGTTTTTACCAAGGGATACGGTGAGCGCAGAACAGCCAGTCACACTCACTCATTCATCAGCTCTTACCACAGCGGGGTTTAGAGGGAATGTTCCCAGGATGGGTAGCCAGTGATGTTGATGATTCTGAGATGCAAAATATTTTACAAAACAGTCCTCTTGGGATCATCTTAACTGGAGAGATGGTAGATACCTGTGGTACAACAAAATACTTTTTTTCAGAAAGGAGAACACAGTCATACATTACATATTAAATACATTAGGAAACACTTTCATTTTCACAGCCTTGGGCCTGTGACACCGAACTGACAGTCGGCCGCCATCGGTGAGTGTCTGTCGCCCTCGTCTTTGCGGTGTGTCTCGCACCGTTGGCACTAGTCAAGGAAACTTCTTCCTAGGTAGTGTTGAAATTCAGCCCCAGCATACAACACAGTGTTCACCAGAATGCCAAATGAAAGCAATTAAAGCCAGTTACTGTGCTTTTTATAGCTTACTACTAGCAGAACACACTGAGGTTGGTGTCCATGGGGTGTGTTTTGTGTATACCCACAGCTGTGCCTCAAGGTTTACTCAAGCTGTAGGGAATTCCCAGTTTCTGCAGCAGATGGATTCATGAACAGAGTCATATCGGAACAAGGACATGGAGGTGTGTGGTTGGGTAAATCAATGGATGGCTGTAATTAAGAGCAGGGTCAGACCCGGGATCTGTGTAACCGACATTTCCCACTATTATTTATAACTGACAGCACTGATGCTTTCACAGAACCCACATCAAATCAATACACACATTCAGTTAGCGGCATATAAATAACTTTAAATGCAGACTGCAGGCTGATAAATGGTCACTAATCAGTGTTTTGATTTAATGAGTTATGAAATATTTAAAGGAATTCTTAATGGAAGCATTTGCATAATAGCATTGGAATTAAAGTGGTTCATAATTTGAGGGCTTGTGATGCTTGAAGCCTGCTGCACTTCACTGACATGTTTCAGAGTGGTTTTCATTGAATTGGTGATGTGTGTGTGTGTGTGTGTGTGTGTGTGTGTTGTCGTCATCCAGTCATCATTTGTTTCTTTTATTTAATATCATCTGTTTCAGGCTTCGGGCTCATCAAGCTGGACTTGAAGACAAAGTCTGAGAATGGACTGGTAAGTCGTTATAAGTCAATATCAGATTATCGGAGCTGCCACCACACCGCCGCCATCCTATCACAGCTTAACAGGCTCTCGGCTGCTAATGGGGAGGCAGGTTGTCTGATCTCCTCAACAGTGCCAGGACGCATCAGCTTCTGCCACGTGGCTGATATGGATTCAAAAAGAGTTCAAGAAAATGTTGTGTTAAAACAATCAAACTACTGTGTCTTGGTTCACTTTTATAGTAATATTAAAGCTAAGTATGTAAGTGAACTCCTTACTTTACTGAAGCTGCTGTGTTTTCTCTTTTCATGTGTTGCAGCCAAACTGATTTCCTGACCTTCTAAATGCATCCTGTGGATTTTTGCTAGCTTGAAAGTTTCAGGTGGAAATCCCAGATTGAAATCAGTACCAAACTGTAGTTTGTCCCTAATTTGTCTTAAGACCGATTTGTCAACAGAATTTCTTCAAAATCTAATTAAAAATTTTTTTGAACTTCTACATTAATATCAAATCCTCTGTTTACAAATATTACAATCTTATTAATATTACAAATATACTAATATCGAATCCTCTGTCTACACCAAACAAATACATTTTTGTAGAGGTCGTCACATGATAATGTTAATTATATATGGCGCTGACAGCTGTTCTGTGATTTGCAGGAGTTCACCAGCACAGGCTCTGCCAACACTGAGACCAGCAAGGTTACTGGTTCCCTGGAGACCAAGTACAAGTGGGCAGAGCACGGACTGACGTTCACAGAGAAGTGGAACACCGACAACACCCTGGGGACGGAGATCACCTTTGAAGACCAGGTCAGTGATGATGTGTAGAGAGCAGGGTCGGTGCTGGCAAAGGAATTTGTGAGTTACAGTGGCAGTGTGTTTGACAGGTGTTTTTACTGTTATGTTCCTGAACAGTAACAGGTTGCATTTTCTGTTCGCCAAGTCGTGAATGTACAGTCTTGCTTATTTTTTCCACAGCTGGCTAAGGGGCTGAAGTTGACGTTTGATTCCTCGTTCTCACCAAACACTGGGTAAGGCCAGCTGAAAAAGAGCCTGAAAATGAAGCTGATTTCAGTTGTGTGGAATGAGGATTAGGCATACTTACAGAATATTACATTTCAACAGCCAGTTCAGTAGCCTATAGCTCCAAGGTAAAACTAGGATGCTCAAAAACAGTATTTAGCTAAGAGCTGTTGTCTTGGTTTAAGCCAACGCATCGGAAAGCCAGAGTAGTTGCACAATTGTTAACTAGCTTGTAATACTAAGTGTGCTGAACTACTTGCGTCTAAAGCCCAGTGTGTCACAGCAGTGTCATGTTTTAGCTCAGAGAAAGCTCTGCTTCTGATGTTAACGCTCTGTCCTCTCTCCTTTACATCATGCCAGCAAGAAGAGTGGCAAGATCAAGACAGGCTACAAGTGCGACCACATCAACCTTGGCTGTGATGTTCACTACGACATTAATGGCACAGCCATCCACGGCGCAGCGGTGGTGGGCTACGAGGGCTGGCTGGCCGGCTACCAGGTGACCTTCGAGGCTGGCAGGAATAGGATCACCCAGAGCAACTTTGCGGTTGGATACAAAACTGATGAATTCCAGCTCCATACGAATGTGTAAGACTACACGAAGCAGCACATGGACATGAGTAGTCAGCTAGCTTGTATCAATACAGTGCATTTCTAATATTTCTCATCATCTTAGTGTAGTGTTTTATGGTCTCCTTGTTGTATTGTAACCACAGTACTGTGGATTAGTAAATTCAGATTTAAGGTAGCAAGGGTAACAAGTCTTTACTAGGCTGATGTTACCCTGAACCCAAGTGACAGGCTGGAAGTTCAAGATGATTAACCTTGGCTAGACAGAAGCCTTCAATGTTTTCTTGTTTTCTTCAGGGCAAAATGTTAGTCTTGTTTGCTGTTGTGTCCTTGACCTGTCTGTTTCAGTCTTCAGCTGAAGTCGGATCATGTGTTATGTAGGCTACATACAGTATGGATGCACTGCACTGGTCTCAGGAGGTCTTTACTTGACATGCGGATGGGGTTCAATTGTATTTTACTGAATCTGAGTCCCGTTCTAAATCCACTTATTGGTTTGGCCATGAAGCTTCATGAAGCCAACTGTTTGTCTTGGAATTGGATCCAAAATAGAACTTATCAGAGCCCATCTCTAGACATTGAAAAGGTGTAAGGTGTTTTCTGTACAAAAGCACAAACCCATCATTTGTCCAGTTGAGGGAAATAGCATATTGTATGTGCTGCAGGAATGTTGACATATAGTCCAATTTTTCCTCAGAAATGATGGCACTGAATTTGGTGGATCCATCTACCAGAAAGTGAACAATCAGCTGGAGACGGCTGTCAACCTGGCGTGGACTGCCGGAAACAGCAACACCCGCTTTGGCATTGCTGCCAAGTATCAGATTGATCCTGATGCATCCTTTTCTGTGAGTAGTGTTTAAGATGAAGTACTACTAGTAGTAGTACCTGTATGGTATCTTGTGTTATGACACTGTTAATGTTGTGACTCAGTTTAAATCCATAATGAATGCAATGGTAAATGATTCAACCTCCAAATTCTATTTACATGAAATTGTCATTTTTTTATAAGAATTGTTTTTGTTGTACTCACTATTATTATTATGCTTGTTGTGTGTCATATGTTTTATATTTAATGTAATAATTGTTTTTCTTTTATGTTTGTAATTAGTTTTTGTCTGTAACTTTGTTGCCATCAGTCTTGGCCAAGACCCCTGTGTAAAAGATCCCATAGGTCTCAATGGGACAAATAGTCTCCTGGTTAACAGTAATGTAGTTCTCCATGAGGAAATCCTGTCTTGACCTGCTCCCTCCCTCACGGTAAATTTATAGTGCAGGGTCTGATTGGAAAATCTGTTCCTAAAACCAGCAGTGTGGTGTCATGCAGTGCAGGAACCAGTGAAACCAGCCACTTCTGTGATTATTATTATTATTTTGCTGTTTTGTTGTTTCTGGTCGTTTGGGTTTTCCAGCTTTAGAGACACATTCTGGGTGTCAAAGATATGCACTACAATGCACCATGTCTTGTGTTGCCTCGTTCAAATCTGGGTCACTGTCTTTGCTGCCTGTCTGACCAACATGGGTGCAAGTCTGTGAGAAAAACACATTATGTTTAGTTTGGTCTGAAAGAAGCCTCATTCAAGATGGCCAATGGGAGGGGGCTGTCTGCTACACAAGGGCCCAGGCTAATTTAGTCCTGTCTGTCACATTGGTCCCACTGGCTACAGACCCAGTTGGTCTGAATTACTGCTTGTTAACTGTAGCTATGTGTAGGAAATACACATTACAACCATTACAGAAACATGGCTGACGTGCCATTCCGAAGTGAAAGTGCTTCAGTGGTGCCAGTGTCAGTTTCAGAGTTCAGTAAGAATCACAGTTTAGTTTTTGTTGGTGCTTGACTTGGAGCAGGCAAGTAAATTACTCAGAATTGGCACAATATATGTATCTGTTAGTAATGCGTGTTTCTTTTTATAATTTTCATCTGTGGTTCCCACACAGGCCAAGGTGAGCAACTCGAGCCTCATCGGCCTGGGCTACACTCAGACTCTGAAGCCAGGTGAGTCCGTCTGCAACTTCAGTGTACTGAGACAACGTTATAGTGAACTAGAATTACTGCTTTATGGCTCTGCCAACCAGTCAGATTCATGGGTATGGTACAGAAGTGAGCTCACTGGCCTTTGACCACCACAATCTAATCAGTTCATCTTTGAGTCCAAGAGGACTTTTGTGCCAAATTTGAAGAAAGGTCTTCCTGAGATATCACGTACACAAGAGACATAAGGATGGACGGACAAAGACATAATGCCTCTGCCGGCGGCTATCACCGGTGCATGGAGGCATAAAAATATTTTTGAAATATGAAGTCATAACCTGAGCAGTGGAATTTAGAAGTGCACTGTATGTGCATTATTCCAATTAAAGTTCCATAACTTAAGTAAATTGTAGGTATGCATGGTATTCAGCTTGATCAAATTATGACTCTCCAGTAGTTTTTGTGTTGAAATTTTTACAAAAATGTCTGAGAAGTTTAAATTACAGTACCACAACTTCAGTTTCCAGAAGCATAAATGGTAGCAATAGCACCACAAAATGATGGGGTTTGAAGTTTGATGCTGATGGGAAATTGACAACATGTAGTGTAGAGGTGGGATCTTCACACCATCAAAAATGGAGGAATTCAGTGAGCATCCTCATGCACTCTGAGACAATTGCAAAACATGTATACACACAATCGTCTTGACTGTGCCTGGCTTATCCTGATGTCGGTGTCTGCAGGTATCAAGCTGACACTGTCTGCTCTCCTTGATGGCAAGAACATCAACGCTGGTGGCCACAAGCTTGGTCTAGGCCTCGAGTTCCAGGCGTAGGCGGAGGAGGCAGACACCCTTCCAGTCCTCCCAGCACACATATATTTCCCACTAAAAAAAAAAAAAAAAACTTGATTGATTAGCTAGCCCTCACAAAACCCGTTTCCCTTAGCCGTGCCACAGCTGGAAGCAAGACAGCGTAAAGGTTAAATTAAATCATCCTTGTGATGATCTACCAGTCTTAAAGGACCACTTTAAGGGAACATTGTTTTGAAAATACAGAGACCACTTCAGAACAAAACTACAACCATGTAACATAGTTTTATCTTGAATTGTGTAGCTTGGAAGGGGCAAGTAGCCTTGAGTACAATTATGTCGGTCTCAGTCATTTCACTACATTCATACATAATACTTTCATTTGTGTCTCTGCTTTTTAATTTAGATAAAAGGGAAAATCAAAACTAGATCAGCCCAAAATGCAGAAAGGGCTGGAGAGAGTTGATGTACAGTTGCATCACAACACCAGCAGATGGTGCTGTTGCATAGCACAGGTAAGCACTCCTGGTTCCGAAGGTGTAGCGTTGTGTCTGTCGGGAGGGTTAGTTGTCCCTTGATGTCATTAGCTCTGAGGCACCACAACCCAGTGTGTACATTCTGTTTCCGTCTCACTTGTCTTTTGTGTCAGTGTATTTGGTGTGAATTATGTATTTTGTTATATATGGCAAAAGATATTTTATTGTTGGTCTTACATAGTTTAATCCATCTCTGAAGTCTTATAAAGGTGAAGACCTGTTAACGAACAAACTAAGGGAAACCTGTCATTCACACAATTGAAACTGCTGGGTAAAAGTTACAGTATTTCTTTAAAGGAGGATGAAAAGAATAAGTGGACAGATCTTCCACAACTGGTTATGGAACTCGTGCTTGGTATATCGGACAGTTTTGTCACTCCCTGAAATAAAGAACAACTTGAACCAGTTTCTGACTGTGTTTGTGCATTTGTGAACAAACTGGCCATTTTCAACAGCTGAAGATGATTTGAAAAGCATTTTGAAGTAGACAAATACATGGCAACTGTTTCATCCTGATTTTGAGTTTCACTGGTGCCAAAGGGTCATGTTTACAGACACGAACAATTGTTAGTCAGTGGGATCTATTTATTTCTGTTCATTGTAAACAAACTAATCTACTTCGAAACCCTTCCGCGTTTTAAGTTGTCTTTATTAGCTGAGTGATGAAATGGTAACTACATCTATGGCTACCTTGAAAACCAGTATGTTAATAGCAAATTAAGAATAATAGTTTCCAAAATGTAAACAAATAGAGGCTACAAAATTTTGTCAGTCATAACATAAAAAGTAACTACATTTTTTCTAGTACTGTACTTGCATACAATTTTGAGGTATCTACTTTCCATTTTCTGCTATTTTATACTTGGACTGCTGCATTTCAGAGCAAATATTGTACTTTTTACTGGACTGGGGTTATTAAGTTATTAGGCTACTTTTCAGAATGAGATTGGTAAAACAAAGTAGTAGGCCTATAGTCTACCCACATTCTACCCAGCAATGTGTAGAGTATAAAAGGTACAGGATATGCTCCACCTTTACCAGCTGCAGCATTAAGGTGATGAGCATAATAGTGCATCAGTAATTATAAGTATTAATCAATGTCAACTGTGCCTTTCTGCACAATGACTTTTGGTGAATATATTTAGATACGTAGTTTTTCACACCTAAGTAAAATATTGAATGCAGACTTTCACTTGTAGTAGACTAGGCTATTTTTACTCCGTGGCATTTCTACGTTTACTTAAGTAAATGACCGTCCTCCACCCTAAAAACTGTCAATGAAACACAGCTCTGTCACATCCGTGTGTGCGTGTGGTCGCTCCAAACCCCGCCCTTCTAGTCTCACGCAGCAACATGGCGACGTGTAGGAAGATGGAGCGAAGCAGGGGAAAATTTTATGCGCTTTCTGTGGTTATTTTCCTCCAGTTGTTAGCCAGAGACTGTCTGACCTTCCCGGTAAATGGCACTACCACGAAAGAAGGTATGTTATATGAAGTATCTGAGATGATGACTGTTTAATCAACGAGACTCTAGCTAACTAGCTAGCCACTGTCAGGTAGTTACGTTGTTAATGTAGCTATTTGGCTAGTACGTCTTGCTAGCAGCCATGGTTTCAGGTGGGAAAGACGAGCTGGGTTAATCACAATCTTAAGTGTATTATATATGTATATATGTATACCAATGAGAGACTACTTAGACAAATAAAAGGGGGCGAAAATGAAACACAAAACAACTATAACGAGATGTAAAATGTCGTCAAAGAGTGACAAAACATCCCCCAAAAGATGCCAACCAAGTGTAAGGAGGTGCGAAATGACTATATACATGTAAAACATCTTTAAAGACACGAAAATAAATCATAAAACCACAGAAAGTGCCTCTGTATAGGTGTCTTGCTTCTATGCGGCAGGGTGGGGGTGTCTATTCCCAGGTGCCCACTGTATCATAAACCGGACATGGTTTAGTTGCTATTTAAATAGTTGTTTAAATGTAAATTCCTACATGTTCTTAACAGTGTTTCACATAACTCCATAAAATCTGCAGACGCTTTTGGGAAACAGTATGGAAACATGACGTCACTCTTTTCCCACCAAACCTCATAACTGGTGCAGACCTGTATTGGATTTAAGTAGATAGAATCATTTTGAAGTTTAACGTCAAGGACCTGGGACATTGGTAAAGGGTGTAGAATAGTTCCCAGTAACCCTGTCATACAGTAATGGACTTGGACTGCTAAACTGATGTTCACTATTGGCTTCAACCTGCTGAGGTAAGATCAGCAGTGTTGGTTTCTTGACCTGTTTTCTGTTCTTTTCAAATGATGGTAGTAAGTCATGTTACTGACTGTGTAGACATCTATCAGGTTGTGCTGGGGACAATAACGTTTCTGGCCTTTTTCTTAATGATACAACTGTGCCTTGCCATCACTCTCTTTGTATTCACTCAAAACTGTTTATTTCTAGATATGTGACTGTGCTAAAGACACAGATACCGCACATAGACAAGTTTAGTGTTGAACAAAATAAGTTCATGAATGGTCTATTTTCTCTAGAATCTATTTTTAATATATTTTTGTCCTTAGAGATCAAAGACCCTGTATGTAGCTGGTAGGAAAGTTATTCAGACAAGTCATCTTTGTATGACATATAACAAACGGTATCTCTTTTCCAGCCTGGAGTCACAGCAGCAGTATCTTCATCTTCTTTTGATGCATTTAAAGTTCCATAAACGGCTTACTCAGACGTTGGGTTTCAGAAATCATCTGGCTGTGGATGCGCCTTTAACTTTTATTATTGTGTGTTTTTCCACCACGTAGCAGGGTAGGGAACAAAAAAAATATTTATGCAGAGGGAGGATGACTATCTTAGCATCACAAGCCCCTAATCCTTTAAGTATTTATTTAGCTTGAAATACAAATATCAAATGACAGTCTATGCAGCTGTTCAACCAGTTTTGCCCTAGTATAAACCTAGTAGCTACATTAAATTTGGTGCATCATACAAGTACCATGTAGGTTTAATCTAAATAAAAGTGACCCAAGAGCCTAAAGTTTATAGAGTGGAGATGTAATATTTCCATAAATCCAACAAGTATATTTTGTCATACGTGTTAAGAAAATTTGTCACGTCACCCAGCTGCTCAGTCTCCAAGACTGATTTTCTTACATGCAGAAAACCATATATGACTGTTTCTGCCACAAAGACCCCCTGTTCTGTAATTATTTATGCTGGCCATGGCCTCTCTATGAATAGTCCCCCTTTTCTCTGGGGGATGCCTGACTCTGTGTTTCAAGTCCCCAGTGTTCTCCTCCTAAGTAACGCCTCCTGGTCCCACAGGAGGAACCAGTGTTGACATTTGTTGATTACATGGCGTCATTGACTCAGCAGGGCTGGCCATATGCACCAGCATGAGTTCAGCTCTCATTTAACGATATAGTGATTCAGCTGTGGAGATTCTTGAACATTTCCATCTATCCATCCATTATCTGTGCCACTTAAGCGGGGAGGGGCTGTACGGATGTCCACTTAGCAGCTTTTCTGTGGCAGCTGGAGGGTTAACAGCCTTGCTCGATGGTATTTTCAATGTTGTGATCATGGATATCTGTAGGATGAGTACAAACTTCATTTAGCTTAACATGAAAGAGCATGAATTTGATGCGATTTTCTTAATTGACTAAGTCGACGGGTTGTCAGTATATCAATTTAGTGTAGTTGTTGAAACAGAGAATTCAGATTGACTTGGACTCTGCATTATTAGCCGGTCAGACTAGAAAGTGGTAAATAATCGGTGGAAAAGGTTCAAGGGTTCAACCAGTATTTCATCAACCTTATTTTTGTGACCTAATGTTTTGCATCGTTCTTCCACCGTTCTTCCAGTGCCAAATGAAGGTCATCAGTCAGAACGCCCTTCTACAATTCCTGTTAATACCACTGTTATCCAGGAGACCAGTCACAAAAAGCCTTCATCGCCTGAGAATGCAACAACTGCGAGAAATCCTGAAACTACTGCATCGCCTGCTGGCAGTAACTCCACAACGACAGTGGCACAGGCCACTGAGAGCAGCACAACAATCACCATAACAAAGAAATCGGATACAGTCGTCATTGGTACCTCTCAAGATTCAGCGGCACCTGAAACTGACAGCAAAGGGGGCAACAGAGTGAATGGGACTAAAGAAGACCCAAACAGTAATGGGGCCACAGGCAACGCCACCCGAGTCTCTACTCCAGAAGAGCCGACCACGTCCACCAAATCCTCTGTGGCAAACAAAGCAGCAACAGAAGAGCCTGAAGAGCCTGAAGAGCCTGAAGAGCCAGAAGCACCTGACACGGAAGACTTGTTAAACCCACCGGACATTCCAGACCTTGCACAGACCACTAAGGACGATGAAGATGACTATGATAATGACGTCGGTGACACTGACAAAGACCAGCCCAAGACAAGGCAGGAGCAGAAGCCAGGTGTAGTGGAGCTGATCCGCTATAATGAAGTAGACAGCCACAACACAGAGGATGAGGACTCTCACTTCTTCTTTCACCTGGTCGTCTTGGCTTTCTTGGTGGCCATCATCTACATTACCTATCACAACAAGAGGAAGGTGAGTGCTGGCATGATGACGGCTGATAATGCAGCATAGATCCTTTTTATTTGTGATAGTTCTGGAGATTTTTCAGATATATATGTGTTTTCTGATATATTTTTTCTTTGCCAGAATGTGTGGCTTAATCAGATACAGTGGTGTCTTCTTGTGTCTTGAATCAAAGTTATTTTTTTCCCCATTTATTTTAACATGCAGGATCAAAAAAGTATAAAGCTTTAGATAAAATTTCTGGTTAGAGTGTCCCTGACCATTTAGAGTGGCTTTATCAGCCACAACCTCTCAAAATTAAACCCCACAGCCCAACGTTGGATATCCTCCAGTGAACAACCTCAGCACTGAATTCGTTTTGAACCAAGCACCTGGTGCTTTGTTCTCTTTATCATGTGTATTGTAGAATATGTAGGCCTAGGTAATGTATAGTCAGTGTTCTCATGAAAGCAGCAGCAGCATGCAGTCTCTTTTCTGTCTTTCTAGCAACATGAGCTCTTTCTCTGACGAATCTGTAGTGGAGGGTTTTATAGTGTACATGGTGCTGGTCCCATGTAAATGTAGGTTTTACAGCTGAAGTAAGGGTTCAACTTATGTAGTCTTTCATCTTTTCTGTTAGCCTGTCAACCAAGAAATAATTTTACTTGATCAGCACTTGTACATCAGATTAATTGGATTTCTATCTGCATTTTGCTTCTTTTCAGATATTGCTCCTGGTTCAGAGTCACCGCTGGAAGGACGGTCTTTGTTCCCGCAACAACGTGGAGTACCACCGCCTGGACCAGAATGTCAACGAGGCCATGCCGTCCCTCAAGATGACCCGAGACTACATCTTTTAATTTATTTGTTTTTGGTCTGGATGTGCACAGAGCCAGTTGGCCTGCCTTCCTGGTCAGTGGCTTTGATTGATGCTTTCTCTTTCTTTACAGGCCAGGGTGTGATGTGTCTTGGGGATATTATTAAGTTTGTATGAATTATCTTTATTCAGGACTTTTTTTCTTGTCTGGATAAACAGAGTTTTAAAGTTTCTGTTACTTTGTAATATTTTAATGTTAATTGTCTTTTTTTAATTAAATTTTTGGATTTAATATTATGGTTCATTAGGGGTCTTATAATTTAGTCTTTGTTGTTTTGTTTTTACTGTGGGAGTGTTTCAGCCTTATGCCACCCTAAAACTCTTTGTTTTCCCTCTTGAACATTGTCTTAATATGTTTAATAATCACTTTTTAAGAGCTTTTCAGAACATCCATTGTGCCGTGCATACTCTCACGTTGTACGGGTGAAAGTGTGCAAACATCTGCTGTAAGTAAAGTACTGTACACTATAAAAAGGTAAACTGGGAAAATTGATTTAAATATATAAAGTCAAAATATCCCATGGTGTGTCATTAATTTAATCAGATGTCATTTTAAGTTTTTTTTTTTTTTTTTTTAAATCAAAGGAAAAAAAATCTGAATTTTTTTTTTTTAGCTGTTTTATCATCACCTATCATTTCTATTGCACTTTTTGCAGAATGTTCATTTTGGTTTTCACATGTTGGGAATTTAAAAAAATCCAATGTTGGACAGTGAATTTGCATGAAGCATCAAGTCAAGGAGGGCGACTGGAATGTTCATGTGCTTAAGCCATTTAAATGAAGATGGATACTGTTCAGGTTAGAAAGTGCTAATATAATGTACGGGAGAAGCTTTTATTGCCAGTCCTTGTCTATTATTTTTATGACTTCGATGAAGTCTGTCAATCCTCTGGTCTTCGTTGCGATAAAAGGTACCAGCTGTGTTCACTTGTGTTTACACAGCACTGTAAATTTTTACTTACCTCCTGACAGAGTACAGTTTGGTTGACTGTTCATCAAAAGTTTTGCATGCTCTGTGTGGCCTGATGTTCACATGAGCACCAAAAAAGAAGAAGAAGAAAAAATAACCCACAGAACAGACCACATTGTTTTGACACTTGTGACTGTCTTTCCTGTTCATGTTTTTTTGCTGCCTGTTACCATCTTATGCCTTCACTTGAAATGCTGAGGTTAGTGATCCATGTGAATCCACATTTGTTATCAATCTTATCGCCTTCTGTCATTTGTTTTCAGCTGTCGTGTCCATATACAAGGTATGGGGATAGATAATGTGATTTGCACTTGCCATTCAATCATACTAGCTACAATGTGAGAGTGGGTGGTGTCTTGTGTAGAGGTGATGGATCAACACTGCTCCTGCAATCAACAGTAAAAACTGCAATCTCCTTTTTTGTCAATAAAGCACAAATTATATATAGAGTCCTCCCTGTGTCTCTCAGTCCTGTGATTGATGTTCTGAGTGAATATGCTAATCATACAGGTGTATTTCTATCACAGAGCCTTCTGTGATACATTATGTGGTAAATCAGCTCAGCTGTGTGGACCTCACCAACTGGGCTGCACACTTTGTTTACAACAAACTCACTTTGACCGTAACGGGCTCACAGGGCGTTTCCTGTCATTCTGGTGGTCACAGACTAAGCTGAAAACTTGGGGTTAAAAGCTACTTTATAGAAAAGCAGTTGCCAAGATGTGTAGTTTTTAGACAAGTCTATTTAGTAAAAGTGTATTTTCTTAGAAAGAAAATGCATTTGATGCGGTTCCTAAGCTTTAATATTAAACTAGGGACTGTAATTAAAAAAAAAAAAAAATTGCAGCACAAAAAGATGCAAGGATCATAGTTTTTCTTTTGATTGCTCTTGTGTGATTCAGACAAACAGAGTCCAGGTCAGGACTGCTAAAAGAACAAGTAGCTTCCCCACAAGGAGGCAGTGTGTGCACATGTGGAGTGCATCAGTAGAGCCTGGGAGTTTCAGATGTCAGAATCTTTGCTCTTTAGCAAACTGAATGATGGCAGTTCTGTACCACATACTGTGAAAGAGATGAACCAGCAAGCGCGTATGAGCCTGTGTAACTGACTCCACATTAAAATGTTCCCTGCAAAAATAAAAACCTAATTTTAGGATTGCTTTTCCTCTCAGTGTGATACAAATGACTGATCAGTATAATAAACAGGGATTTGAGCTGAAGCACTTCCAACACTGTTTCTGTTGATGTGTGGTGAGTCTCAGAAACACCAAACCGACTCTTCCTGTTTCTCATATTCAGAATCTTTAATGTCAGACAACACCCCTGAGACGGCTTGTCAGGACAGCAAGAAGTACAAAGCGTTTACTTGTCTGTCTTTTTAAGTTGGCAAACAGCAGAGAGTGACAGCACAGATGGAAGCAGAGAGAAAACAAAAAAGCGCATCAAGTTGAACATGCATATCTTCTGCTTTAGTTTTGATTAGTGGCAGCCAGGCTGTTCTCACAGCAGAATGTCCTAATGTACTACAGACCCACATGAAAACATTTCCTGCTCAGAAACCTTTATTCTTCCAGTGCGGTATCAAGGGAAATATTCCAATAAGGTAAATACAACCAGAATACAAGTATATTAGTTCAGAAGTAAATTATCTTGAGCAGACATTTTACTTCCCAGCTAGTTATGAGTTTTTGTTTCATTTTGTTAGAGCACAAGAACTATTCAAAAGTGACAAAGGCACCAAAGATGTTTCACAGTGAAACAAGACTGAGCATGATTTTGCAACAAAATTTGACCCAAACCCTCATTATTTAAAACAAAAAGGGTCACTCTAACCAGTTTCACTTGGTACAATGACAACAAGATACATAGGCTTTGTGGATATTTGTACAAAGTTATGCTGAGTGACTCTGTCTGGGCGACAGCAGCAAATGAAATCTGCCAACTGGAAAATCTCACAACTACTTCTGATCACTGATGGGTGAAAACCTTGCCAGTGGTTATCCTCTGGGTTTTGAAAAGACGTTTCTTTAAGCCATTTCTCCAGAGAACATCCTTCAGTTTACAAAATTATTAAGAGTAAAATTTGCAGCCTGATCAGCCTGATTTGTTAAGGCATTTGTACACAGAATTCCTCAAATTTCATGCAAAGATTAGAAAGCAATCATCATTATAAATAGATTATTTTTAATTATCATCAGGTATGAACCTGTTTTCAAAATGGGTATAATATGGAATGCTTAGAAAATATTATAGAACATATTCTGGTGGATTCTGTAATTTATGTCAAATTAACACAATTCTGATGACAGCACATTATCTCAGGAGAAATCAAGAGAAGAAAACCACAGATTTCATAAAAATCAGCTGGAATTTGTTCATTATTTTCTTGTTTTTCCTCTTATGATGAGGCAATAATTGAATACAGTATCTAATATCTTCCCATGTTGCAAATCATCTCAAATTAATTGGAACAACGAAACCCCAGCCTCAGCTTTAATTAATAGGAGTAAAAACATCTCCAGAGTGTTGTTCTTTCTTCAGGTGAGAGATGCAGGTAAACATGGGCATCACCACACAACTCATAACTAATGGTTCAAACAGCATGAGTCTGTCAGAAAGTGTTTTTTTCCAGCAGAAAGACAGATCTCTAACCTTTGGTAGGGAAAAACACAGCAACCTAAAACACCGCTAGCATTTTGATGTTCCATAGGGTTAATTTGCACAGCTGGACCAACCGGACTGCTCATGTGAAACTATCCATTAAAGACAATTCTAACAGATATTGACCAATTTGGGCTTTTCTGTAATAATTTCTGTATTTTCAGCATTTGGCTGGATTAGGTTGGCCCATTTTTTTCTAACCCCATTCCAGCAGGTATCTATTTTTCACAAAAACACTTCAATATATCGAGCGGCAGGAAACCTGGAAGTGTAACAGATAAAACAGCTGGGTTCAGTCTGAAGCTTATCAGAGCACATGCTGTAGCGGTTAGATCATGTGGACTGGCTCAAGGGCGAACACCGATGAGACCTGGTGGAGATGGTTTCAGCAGCTCGGGACTTGAAACAGCCCTCTGCTCACTGCATAGAGGTAAAATACCATTTTATACAGACGGGTGAAAACTGAAACTGTACAAGATATTGTTCTGTCACAGCAAGGCCTGATGTTGTTTTTGAAAGAACCTTTATGGTACAACAGGTAGATACTGTTTATAATTAAGTTCTTTTTGGGGCTCTGGGTTCTCCCTCATCAGCTCACATCAAGCTGCTGTTTACTGATCCCATTTAGCTGGTCAGCAGTCGTCGACTTCAGCTGTTCACACGAAGAAAGGCCAGTGGTGGAAGAGCTACTCAGGTTGCTGCAGACCTTTGTAGGTGCAAAACAGTGTTCTGATGTTCATACAGGTCCTCTAAATGGAAATACAAACATAAGGAGTGTAGCTTTCTTCTTCTTTACTTTTGTGGAGTGCCTGATCCTTCTGCACTTCCCTTATATTTAATATCCTGTCTGTGTTTCATGGCCAATAGTCTCTCAGGAACAGCACATTATATCCACAGTCCAGGCTTTACATTCGCTCCATTTTGTTTTATCACTCAGTTTTGTATTTCTGTGTTGACAAAGCTTAACTGCCCTTGTTCTTTATCTTTTGCTTGGCTGGCATTTAGAAAGGAGCCCACTGCCTCTTCACTCTGCAAAAGAAGAAAAAGCATTTGCCCTTGTTTTTATGGTTTGAAAGGGCAGATGCTCAACGACAGAGTTGAGGCAGAGAAAAGAAGAGTTCAGATATAGCAGAGGTTCCATTGTGAGAAGGAAGATGAGAAAAAAATTATGCTCCTCACAGAGGGCATCGGTTGTCTGTCTAGACATTTGTATATTTGCATTGGTTGTTATCAGTCTGTCAGGTGGAGGGTGACCCCGTAATGTCACATGTCGGACGCAGACTGTGTAAACCTATTAATTAAGACCTGGAAAGATAAACTCTTCGGTTAGTCATGGCCAAACGAGGCTTTGCAGTCGATTGTATCACCAAAAGGTTCATTAGCCTCATTTGACTCCGCGTTCACCAGTGACACCTACTGTTAAAACTGATGAAGTGCAGCCATCATCAATCACTGTTAAGTGCAAATGCATAAGAATAATAATAATCACCTTTATTTGGCCAATTATGTTAGACACAAGGAATTTGTTTCCGGTACAGAACCGAGACAGCTATCTGCAGCGCCGACTCAACCAATGGCTCTAACCATCGGGGACAACTTGCGGGTTCTCACCCAAGGACACTTTGACACGTGGAGGCACCAAAATTCGAACCTCCGACTCTCAGGTTGGGAAATGACTGCTCTACCCATTGACCCACAATAAATGCTGATACAAAAGTCTCTATTGTATCAGATATATGCAACCATTTATTTTAGATATAAGGGAGATAAGTCGGTTTATTAATTGTGGTTTTGAATTCTCGTTGTCAAGAGTTGAATCAAACATGATTTAAATCCTCAATACCAAACAATAAATACAATGAAAACAATAAGCATACTGCGAAATCTCAGTATTTTCCTCAAAGTAACCACCCAACCAGAACTGCGTCTCTGTCCTTGTATCAATAGTTTGAATCCGGGACTATAAAACTGAAATGGTCACGTGATGCCGCGAGAACCAGAGGGCTCGATTGTCAATTGGCACGAGCTTGTTCGGAAAGAGTTTCTCTGTATGTGATATTATACAATTTCCGTAAGTTCCTATAAGTTAACATGAGACATAGAGACAGTGTGCTAATGTTAGCTCTCAAAACACAACCCAGAATCACACTGAAATGCCACCTGTATTCGTTTCGTCTGTATGTTTTGTTTTGCTAATGTGTGTTGGTGTTATCAGCTAATGTAAGGTAAACGAGCTCTAAATGAACTTTTTAAAAGGCTTTAAATACAACTGCCATGTGTGTTCGCTAGCAGAAAGGACCAGGAAGGCGCTGTTTGAGATGTCCCGCTCGTTGTGCGGTGTCTTCCCGCCAGCACGACTCAACATTTCTACCTCTGTTACAACGTCACTGCTCCAGGATCTCGTGAGTAAGAAACACTTAACTACCCTTAGACTGCTGTTCATTTATTTTGGTATTGTTGTTTTACAAAAACATTTTGGTCTGACTTTTGTGACTTTATACATATAAATATTGATAAGGATTTTAATCTGTACTGGAAGAATGTTCTGTTTGGTTGCTTAGAAACACGATTCTCACCTCATGTATATGTTTGTAACTTGCTAATTCTATTGGCTAAATTTCATATTCACAAATGTAAATTCGCAAAGAGAAAACCTCTATTTTTGGTCTTTTTAAAGGAGTTCAAACAATACATTTCTTCAATATATTTTTCTGATAATACAAAGGCCGTAAAAACAATTAATGTATGCACTTTTTTAAAAAAAAGTCTGGTTAGATAATACCTCCCCCCTAGCGTTTTTTGTGTTTTTTATCTTTCTTGTATTTGTTTCTATTCTGGTTCGGTGAATGTGATTTGAATACACTGTTTTATATTTGTATCTTTGGATGACAGTACTGTATTTTCCATGTTGAATAAAGTTGAAAAACAAACAAACAACAAAAAAAAACCACTTATCTACATTTCTTTAGCTGTTTGCCTTGCAAGTGAATGAGCGGCCATATTTCTGGCCGCCCCACTCATGCCTGCATTGTAATTTATTTTAAAGTATTTATTTTTTTGTACAGAATGAAAATGTGGGTCCTTTTAGTTTTTAATTTAATAATTAAACTAAGAGAAAAGATGTGTTGCAGAACCGTTGCCTATATTTATTAGCTACATGTGTTGGGTGCTGCATACCTAATTGAGTCAGATATGATTTTGACACACAGGGCTCATTGAGATCTGTGACACTAGAGTTACATAATAAATTCAGTTGAGTTGCAATAAACAAGTGTGTCCCTTTAAGAAATAGACTCACACTGATGTCTGTAGTTTTGCCTTAGAAGATCCTTCAAGCTATGGTCTGTCAAGTTGGACCCAAACTAAAATTCCCTATTAAAGCCACTTTGTAAACAAACACTTACTTATATATATAACAAACTCAGTCTTTATAACCAGTCATCTGCAGTGCAAGATAAGGAGTTGCACATCATAGAGCATGTCTAAAACATCCAGACATACAGTGGGTATGGAAAGTATTCAGACCCCCTTAAATTTTTCACTCTTTGTTATATTGCAGCCATATGCTAAAATCATTTAAGTTCATTTTTTTCCTCATTAATGTACACACAGCACCCCATATTGACAGAAAAACACAGAATTTTTGACATTTTTGCAGATGTATTAAAAAAGAAAAACTGAAATATCACATGGTCATAAGTATTCAGACCCTTTGCTGTGACACTCATATATTTAACTTAGGTGCTGTC